TTCGAAATGTACCTCTGAATGTCCCAAATATCCGATCAAATCGATAAATCTGAACGTATAGATATCGGATGCGTATTCCGTTTCCGGTGCGTCCGCGTCACGGTGACGGCGCGCGCCGGATGCGGCCACGCGATGGTCACCAACGGCCGTAGCCATTTGTCACATCCTGTCCGATATTAGGGCTTTACATATCGGCTAGGGCTACACTGCCGCTGGGCTACACTGTAGAAAAACCATCCTTAATACAGAACTAGATCATAAATAGAGTAATATAAATAGAGTATCTCCCTAAATAGACAACAAGGGGAAAGGGATTATAACTAAAGGGGATTAGCATCTCTATTAATAGCAATATACCTTATTAGGTTGACCTCCTCGCGGTTCCCCATGGAAACCATCGTGATTGTTTTTTGGTGAATTTGTCATAATAGGCTGACTGACGTGCTTCATCCTCACCTACCACCATACCTGAGGGCCTACCATGAAATGTTTTCCGAAATTTCAGAGCCAAACGAAACAGAAATTTGATGTTAAAATTACATAATACATGCCGTTTGGAAATATTAGAAATGTTAAAATATTGTTCCTTTGGACTTTTATGATAGGATGTATGACGAACGAAATGTTTAACTCCATTTATTGGTCCGGTTTTGGTATAAACAAAAACACGAAATTGAATCCGAAATTTCGGAATTTCATTTCATAGTAAACCCGCTGGTTTATATTCTTATCGTTTATCATCCATAAAAATAAAAATTGGAAACGAAGATATTTTTCATTCACAAAAAAGTGCCTTTAGTTTTGAACACACATACATGAACGAGTTTTTATTATAGTTTACTAGCGACCCGCCCCGGCTTCGTACGGGTGCAATGCTGATACTAAATAGTAATGATAATGTAATCTTCGGAAATATTCATTTAAATTACATGCTGTAAATGGACAATATACTTAAGATACTTAATTGGATAAAAACTAACACTGTATTGCTTAAAATCACTTCGTAAATAAACCGTTTTTTTTTCCGTAAAATGTAAAGGATAAAAAATGGTTATTGTAGGTTATCCTTAAGAGATAGACATATACCATCGCGAACTTTTTTGTTGACTTTTTTAAGGTGTACAATACTGTAGTACATTATTTTGATTTATCTCGTGGGGTTCAGCCAGCGTTTGCAATGTAAGCGCAAAAAAATGTGTTTATTTGTGACATCACATTAGAAACCTCTAAATTTATCAGTGTTTCTCTACAATATTATGCATGTATTATTAGGCAAAATTGAGAATCCATATCCTTCTTTATTCATTTTCTTCCTTGATTTAAAGTCGCTTAAAAAAAAATTAAACTAAGGGTGCCTAACATCAATATAAAAAAGGCAATAAAACAATGTAAGTAACCTTTTTAAGTAGTGGTGAAATACATTTTTCTCTGGGTTGACTGTTTGTCACTTGGGTGACATCCGTAACCAGTATTCCGTATTTGTCCTTACATTAGACAAGGGTCTAAACGTTCATTAGAGTATAGGTCTATTGAGTATTGATAATAAAATAATTTTGCTTTTTGAGGGTGTATGAGAATATCACGAGTGATAATGATGAGGAAATTTTAAATGTAACCTGGTCGAAACGTCGACATAACTCAGGTAAATTGTCATAATTTATCTAAATGATCCCACTAATTCCCATTTAAAATAAAATAATATCATTTTGGTTGATCTCATTCATGGACCATATTGTCCCTGTGTTAGATCGGGATGGTGTGATCACATGTGCAAACATTATATGTTATTTATTATAACATATGTTATTCAAATTGACACTTGGAAGATGTTCTTACGTTTTTTATGCTGAATCATGTGTTTTGTTAAAAGCGATTAGTTCTTTGGCTTTTTTTCTGGATGTTCTTTAACAAAAATACATAACTAAATAAACTAATAAATAACTGTTCTATATACATACAAGATAGAGTAAAAAGATTATTTTTTATAAATAATGGACGACAGGATTCCAGGAAATCAGCATCAAATGCAAATCGTAAGCTTTTGTGCCTTAAACACTCTATTCATACCTGTACAATTTCTCCATAGTATTAAACCGTACTGTATGACTAATGCAACATGTGCATGGTAAGCAAGTAATGCACAATCAATGGAAGATATTTCACGGAGACGTTGCAAAGTTCCTGATCTAACAAAAGTAACAGTGTGAGTGGATCCTTTCAAAAGAAACAAAATTAGATTTTACATTCTCATTATGCGATTTTACCGTGAACAGGAAGGTAAGTACAAGATGTCCCACTGCAACTGCGTACCAATAATAATTCCAACAAATCATGTCAAACGACAAACAACAAAGTAAAGAAACATCATTTAGACCGTTCAAAAGATAACTCCCGTATCCTCATTGTGATCCACAATCGAATTTAAATTCTCCACTTTTGTGCTTTGTCCCTTGTTTGTTGTACAAAGGAAGCATTATTTTTTATTATTATTTCTTTTATTTTATTGTCCGTCACAATGGCGGACAGACGGAAAATTCGACGCAAGTTCTTCTGTTATAGCGCCAAGGAATAATTGTGGTTGATTCTGTTTTGCGGAATTTGTTTACCTTTGTGCGCCAGGTGTCTTGTTGCTTTCACTTTATGTGGTTTGTAATTGGTTTTTGTTGAGTTATTCGCGAATTTTCATACGTTAAACTATTTCATAATATTTATTATTACATGTTCTGTATTATTTTGGTACATTATCACTTTTAATACTAACAATATTAAAACTGATAATGTAAGATAATGTAAACGCTGTTTGTAAATAATTTTTTTTTTAATGGATGATAATGAAATGAATTCACCGTATGGTTCTAGCTTAGAATGGGTCACCCCTTTTTTGTGGGTGTCGTTAATAGCGACTAAGGGAACTTAATGGCCGAGGGATGGGCAGCAGCGTCCCTTTTTAAATATTACCAAAGATTGACTGCGGTTTTCAATCTGCCTGCCAAGCGTGGCAACTACTGGCAAAACCTCCCAATAGGGGGAGGTTTATTAAAACTCTTTATTGTTCCCAATGAATTATACAGATTATAAAGATAAACAATATTTACACAAACAAAATGATTACTTAATTACATAAAAGCGAGATAAAGTGGCAACACGACATGATGTAATTTTTTTTTCTAAAACAAAAAAAAAAATTTAAATGCTAACGATAAATATTTCACGCGGAGGAGTTAGAAGGAATAGTTGGTAATGTAATGTAAGTGCCCCATTTCTAGTAGGTAATATATTGTACCTGTCAGGTTGACCTCCACGCGGTGCCCCCTGGAAAACATCGTGATAAATTCTTGGTGAATTGGCAAGGGATTATTAGTAATGGGGAAGTTAATCCCTGAGCTGGCAATATACTTTTTCTCTCAGGTCGGCCCCCACATGGCTTTGCCTGGAACATATCGTGATAAATACTCGTTGAATCCGTCGCACTGGGCTAACCAGCTTTCATCCTCACTTATGACTACTTACTGCTACCTCGCCAACGTATACCGATAGCGTAGGCGAGGTTATCATTCCATTATCATCCATTATTGTTCCAATTCGCCATCATGAGCTAACTGGCCTGACTTCACGCTAATCTATCACTCCTTACTAGTGCCCCGCCAGCGTAAACCAATAGCGCAGGCGGAGTTACCATTCCATTGTTATTTATAAAAAAAATATGCCCAAAAATTATTTATTACGTTAATTATTATACATATTGTGTGTGATTACAGCTGAAATAAAACTACAATAGTAGTAAATAGATAAATAACAAAGAAACACAATAATTTGTACACACAGAAAATGATATGTGTGGTTAGATTCAATTAGGAACGTGCAACTGTTTAATGACTTTCACGACAAAAAACAACGTAGTGTAGTGATTGTGTCGATAACTTTATCAATTAAATCTGTCGATATATTTTTAGAGGCACTTGCATTTTCAAAAGAGCTTTAAAATTGTATTACATGTGTGTATATTGATTTTTAATAAAATACCATTGTTTCAATATGATGTCTTTTTTTGCTAGAAGAGCTAACTTCCCTTTTGCTCTTATTTAATTTTATTAAGATTATTCGGAGATATTAATCGGTTTAATTATGTTTTATAACGATATAACGATAATACAGTCATTTACTGCCCACTGCTGAACATAGGTGTCGCCTTTGGAGGGTTTTGTCAGTAGTTGCCACACTTAGCAGGTCGGTTGTCAACCGCAATTAGGTTTCGGTGATATTTTAAAAGGGACGCTGATACCCGTTCCTTGAACATTACGTTTCCTTAGTCACTTCTTAGTTACACCTATGGAAAAGAAAGGGGTGGCCTATTATATGCCAATTGGAATATATACTTATGTTATACTATAAGTATATATTTCAAACAATCACACATAAGTTTCAAAATTTGTTGAAAGATTATGATATACTTCATTGTGTATGTGTTGCTATATAAATGTAGTTAAATAGCAATATGTTGTCAGCTTTAATTTTAATGGCATTTATATTAAAGACGTTTTCTGCATTATGTTGATTTTTGAAAATAATTCCTTTTACATATTTGCGATTTTTTTTAAATACTTTAATAATTAATTAAAACGTTAATGTAATAAGATATACTTACCTAACAGCAAAATATTTAGTGGTAGATATGGTTACATAGGTAGATATTATTTGCTGCAAATCAAGTTTAGCACAGAATGTTAAAAAAATATACGCCATACCTGTTCATAGTCTAGTTTATTTCTTTATAAATATTTGTCTTATTTATCGACAACGCGGTTTACATCTCTAAAACGAAGTGTGTCATCGTGTATAGCGATATCGTGGTAGTAGGTAGCTACCGATTTTATTCAGTCACACATGAACTAGTATGGCGTACGCCACGCGATTCTACTTCGTGAATTGTTTATAAACTAAAGATAGTATGACAGTATATTCCGCTGTCTTGTAAATAAAGGTGAGTCACCTTCACCGACCTCCCTATTTCATTGACCTTGGGTGCCAGTTTGCGGGTCGCGCCCCGAGCGTGCGCTGCGGCCGCTCGTTCCGTGGTTACACTATTTAGAACATTTTCTAACACAGTGCTTTATTAAAAACGCTCTTCCATAGCAAATGGTACTGTAGAATATCAAATGAGTGGTGTACATTCCCGTATTTTATGGATTTCAACATAAAACAAGTAAGAAAACACAGTGGATATCTCACTTCCGATATTAACTCGCACTGTCGCATGCTGTAGCACACCATGTTCTTAATGCGCATGTGAATTGTAATCCGAATGAGTTCAGATGATCGTCGTGTTCACGGTAAGGTGTAAGTGATAGTAGGCATTGTATTTGGTCGGGTTATATATGAAAGCGATCGAGAAATTACGAAAGCAGTTGAGGTATCTTAATTCATTTTGTTACGGTTGGAAATTGTGTAGCAAATATAAGATACTTAAGTTGTTATTTTGCTTTGATTGAGACTACAAAATGTTAGTATTTTGTGAATGAATTATAAAATAAGATTTATAGAATCCACACTTACTATACTGTTGTAAATTGTACGGAATTGTAAACTGATAATTTAGACTTAAACATTTACACAGGTACAGGTATTGAAATTGGCAAAAAAAAAAATACATTATATGTTTTGTTTTAATGAGTCAAATTTTTACAACTAAGTACTACCATTAGTCAAATAGGTAAAATGATGTATCTAATATATACCTACCTAGAGTTAGGTTATGACAGTTACGTTTAATAAATCATGTTATTAAAAAATAATTAGATTAGAGCATTGGAATCGTAGTTTTTGTATAATTTTATTGTTATGCAAAGACAGCTAGTTTGGTAATAAACAGATGCGTGATTGAATGCGAATGGCATTGCTTGACATTGAGATTTAATCTCTAGAATTTGTTATTCTTCATTGTCGTAATGTTGGCACCCAAGTGTGGCACGTATGAGTAAGTGCCACATATCGTCATAGTCGTAGAATACTGACGGATCTTTATATGTAATCTTTGTCAGATCCGTCAGTATTCTACGAATATGACGATATCATGTCTGATAATCGCACTATTACATTATGAAAAATTAACACTTTTGCAAATCAGGTCTACAGGTCATTTGTACGTCTATTTCTTTGAATGATATAATAAAATGGAGGACTTTTTGTATTTAATTTGACAATAAACAATTTTAAATTTAGAGATTTAAGTATTCTCAGTGTACTGTAGATTAAATTTAGCGTAATTCATTAGATCATATTTATTTATCAAATGAAAATATGGTATAAAAGGCGGACTTGATACTAGTACCAGTAGCATTCTCTACCAACCTTCTTTACCAACCTCTCTACCAACCTACAAACCTAGTCAACCTTTAGGATGAACAGTGAATCACGCACACGATACTTTATTATTAGAATCTATAGGTAATAATAAAAACAAATGTATACTTAATGAACGTAACATAAATAAGATTTATAATTAATTTAACAGTAATATAAAATAATGATTATGCCATATATACAGTCATATCTACAATGTAGGTTCTACATTTAGATTATATACACAGATAGAGTATCTCCATACAAATGCTTCGAGAAAAGCGGGTAACTTTCACATACAATTTTACGTGATAAATAGTCATGAGTTATTCCTTTATAACTTCTATAATTTATTTTGTCTTATAATTTCTGCATCTCTTTAATGAGTAAACTCTAATTTTATTTATTAAATAATTAAATATAGATACGTCAAGGTACATGATGTGCATAAGTATATAAAACAATATAAAAAAAAACGAGTCTGCTAATTTCACAATTCGCTGACAAAAAGTTGACCCGTTTTCTAGGCCCGATGCTCTGCCTACATAATCTAAGGTTTCTATACATAAGTTGTTGAAAAATATGCTCAGTTCGACGAATGGTTTAAACGTCTTTGTTTCGTGGTAGGTCTATAGATTATTTTTAATTTCTATTAGAGAATATTTTGATATTAATTTGTTAAAGAGTCTTCAAAACACTATTGGAGTATATAATACTAGGATAAAAATCACAAGTTCATTGAATTTGACATTTTGACGCTAGGCATATGTTATGTTATGATTAATAAGTCTTTGCTACAATACTACTCTTATTAGTTGATAAGTAATATGACTAACAAGGGGGGAAAGGGATTATTAGTAATGGAGATTGAGAATCCCATTGCTAGCAATATACCCAACCAGGTCGACCTCCTCACGGTTCCCCCTGGAAACTATCATGGTTAATTCCTGATGAATTCATCATGATGGGCTAACTGGCCTGTTTTCATTCTCATCTATCACCCTTCACTGGTGCTCCGCCAGCGTACCTCGTTAGCGCAGGCGGGGTTACTATTCCATTTTCACCCATCAAAAAAAAATATGACTAACAAATCTTTGTTATGATAAGTTTTGTTTATCTATATTTGGAATGTCTATCTGTATTTGTAAGCACAATGTAATCGTTAGCTAAGAAGTCTGTGCTAAAAAAAAATACCACTGTCATGACACTATACATCATTAGTCTTTGTTATGATACTATTAGTTGATAAGTAATGTATGTCTATATTTGCAATTGTGTACCATGAGCACCGTGTTATCATTAGTTGAAAGTTCCTCTCCGATAAACCCACCTCATATAAATACTACCTTCCTTCATCTTCAAGTCAGTTCCATTTCCAAATTCACAGTGTAATCATCTAATTGTACTATATCTATGTATTAGTTTTTTAAAAAGCAAATCTTATCATTCGCTTCTCCAGCATAGATTATAAAAATCATAGTCTATGGTTTTCAGACTTGTCAATGTAAGGAAGAATTAAGTGTTATAGCTTATGAATCTGCTGTTGTTTTCTGTAGGTATATGTTTGTTTAAAAGAAAGATAAGTAAAAAGATAATACAATGCGCTTAGCTTGCCTGCTCTCAGTTACCTGTAATTTATGGTTACGGTTAAATCGGTTCAGATAATGTTATGTAGATAAATTGCCAAAAATTTAATAGTAAAACTATTTAATTTTTGGCCATTAATTAAAAATTAAAACATTAAACAAACGGTTAAACATTTAATTAAAACGAAATTGTAAATGGTTACGCAGTTTACTGATTCTAATATTGTTCTTTACAGGTACAAGCAAAGGAAGTTGCAATTTTGTCAAAACAAAGACAAATGCTCACTGAAGCCAAGTTGTTTATAAGCGCCCGAGCATGCGCCGACGGAAATGCCTCGCTTCACTTCTCCAGTTACCTCTTTCCACACAATACTGAAACAGTTTTTTACCATTAGATTTCTAATCGTTATCAGCTGTATTAGTTTTATTTTCTCAGTTCTCTGGATTGAATCCATAAAGAGAAAGTATTTGCCTTCCACCAATGAAATTATTGTTCAAGAGGCCATTGAAAATGTGGCCAGAGATATTAGATACTTTGACGTCTATCGTAAGGTGGAAAACTTACCGAAACACCTCAAATATATACTTCTGTGGACATCAAAAGACTTTTCTCCGTTTTATTTATTTGGAAGTGGACAGCGTGGATTCCTCAATAATAATTGCTCGGTGATAAACTGCTATGTGACTGATGATAGGAATTTATTCAATGGTGATATTACTAAATTTGATGCTATAGCCTTCAACGGACGCAATATGAAATATTATGATTTACCTACAAAAAGAGCGCCACACCAAAAATACATTTACGTAAACATGGAGTCCAATGATAACTATCCTGTTTGCAATGCGAAATTTGATAATTTCTTTAATTTAACCTCGACCTATAGATTAGATTCCGATATTCCTTTGCCGTATATTTTAATTAAAAATTCAAACGGAGATATAGTTGGACCGAAGATAGATATGGAATGGGATGAAGATATGACTGATGTAGATGAAGAATTGCCTTATAGAATACATAATAAGAGCAAAGCGGTAGCTTGGTTTGTTTCACATTGCACCAACAAAAATGGTAGATATACGTTTGTGAAAAACTTGCGAAGGGCATTGAACCCTTACGGTTTAGATATTGATATATACGGGTCATGTGGACATTTGCAATGTCCGATAGAGCGTAAGTCAGAATGTGATATTATATTAGAGAGGGACTATTATTTTTATTTATCATTAGAGAATTCGTTCGATAAAGATTACGTGACGGAGAAACTGTTAACTGCCTTGCAACATGATGTTGTACCCATTGTCTACGGAGGTGCTAATTATTCAAGGTAAATGATAAATTGTATGATTCATATATTTTATAACTAGGTTTAAAACTAGCGACCCGCCCTGGCTTTGCGCGGATAGATAGTGTAGTGATTGTAAATTTTTAAAATAGATTTATATTTTTTGAGTTTGTCCATAAAAAACAGAAAATCATGCCTCTTTATGATATTACTTAAGACTAACGAATTAATATGTCTTTAACATTTTGTATGTTGATGATTTATATATATATATGTAAAATCACTTTTCCTTAAGTCTGATAGATATGTACACACAAATTATCACAATATGAAATTTTAAAGACATAGTAACCACTTATAGATAGGTTGTACATAATTTGTAAAATAATTAATTTTAAAGATAAAAATAGATGAAAACGTCGCGACTACCCGCGCGTAGTTATTTCTTCATCTCTTCGGTGCACTTAACTACGTGTTATCTATTATATAAAAGTTTCACCAGAGGGAGACGGTACAAAGTCATTTGCACTCAGACACCTTAACTTTGCCGGCAAGCAGCTTATTTATATGCTGTGTTATAAAAAAAATACCTAGGTGCAAAATTTCAAGACTCAAGTCTTAAGTATTTATAGACTGTGCTTACTGTCGTGATTATTTCTGACATAGGTGCGTATATCAACTAATCTACGTTTTTTTTTTATACAACTTAGAATGGCAAACAAGCTGACGGCCCACCTGATGGAAAGTGGTAACCGTCGCCTATAGACATGAGCAGTACCATGGACATAACAGAGTATACTGTTTCGCCCATGATACCCCCATGCGTTGCCATTCCTGAGGACTCAGGTGTTATTTCTCTGTACCCAGTAAATTCACGCCATATTCCATCCTTCAAACCGAAACACAGCCATGCAAACACAACTGCTTCACGGTTGAAACACGAATGGGACAGAGGTACCCAATCGACTTTTGTACAAAGTCTCCCTCTGGTATAAAATATTAATTTGTTTATTAAACTTTAATACACTTGGATAGTGTAAATAATAGACTTAACACTATATATCCATCAGTCGTATCTTATATATATTATTATGTTACAATAATTATTAGCTTATTAATGGTAATTAGGAATGGAGAAAACACAAAGCAAACACACGTAATTGTGGTGAATAATATGTAATAAATTGTCAAATATGTTATTTTTAAAATGTATATTTACAAAAAAAGAATATTGCAAAAAATTTAACAATTAGTTCGTTACACAAGTTATTACCCAGTGGTTTTGTCTGCGTAAATTAAGATAAAAGGTATTTTATCTATACTTATAATAAATGTGTAGAGAGGTCAATTCTGTACATGAAATATATTTCCAAAATAACTATCAGGGGGTGATTAGTGTTCGATACTGATGCCAAAAATGCAATCAGTAAATTTTTTGTCTGTCTGTCTGTATGTTCGTTATAGAAACAAAAACTACTTGACGGATTTTAACGAAACTTGTTACAATTATTCTTCATACACCTGAGCAGGTTATAGTATACTTTTCATCACGCTACTATCAATAGGAGCAGAGCAGTGAAGGGAAATGTTGGGAAAACGGGAGAAGTTACTCCATATTTAAGCTTCCGTCGCATGTGCAGCCTTAATAACCACTTTTTAAAATGTAAAAATGTCCATCCGTGCGAAGCCGGGACGGGCCGCTAGTATTTTTAATAAAATAGACATACAGGCATTTTTACAAACTTTCACTGATAAGCTATTAGTATCTACTTTTATATACAGTAAGCTGTATCTCGTGGCTTTGCTTGAATTAGAATAAAAATGTATCAAACCTGAACACGATCAATTTGAGTAGGTACCATACTTTATTGAAATCCTTTTAGTTTAATGATTAAGTAACTAAGTATAAATATATAAATAAGTATAGGTTTGAAGGGTGGGATATGGTAGTGAAATTACAGGGAACGGAGGCACAAAACTATATAGTCTACTAGAATAGTAACGTGTAATGGGTACCGTGGCCATCATGGTGCAGTTTGTAATAGTCTCGGTGCTGTTTATAGGTGAGGGTTACCACTTTACGTCGTTGGGCCATTGGGTTATTAACCAATCTAAAAATCATAACGAATTCGTGCATTTAAAAAAAATGTAAAGATATATGGAATTGGTTCTTATATGGTTAAATTTTGCAGGTTTCTTCCACCAGGCTCGTACTTGGACGCCCGTCAGTATAGCGTTCAGCGGCTAGCAGCAACCATTGCACAGCTCATCAACTCACCAAAGTTATACCGTAGCTACTTCAGGTGGAAATATCACTACACGTACCACGATCCTCAAGCCGTTGAAAATGTATGTGCCATGTGTGCGGCGCTTAACAACAAATTTATTATGCAAACACCAAAGGTATATAGAGATTTTAGAACGTGGTGGAATCCAGATTATGCGGAGCGTTGTCATTTCTGGGCCGTTTTAGCAAGTAGCATTTGAAAAAGTATTTCTTTTTTTTTTTAATGTAAGTGTTGCCACGTTTTCTAATGACGATTGTTTGCAAATAATCATCTAATTTTATTTTTATGCCAGCTACCTCTTAATGTACGAACTGATTTGAACGTATTTAATGCTTCTAAGCTATTTTAATTACTTTTTTTTTAGTTTATAGTAGTAAAAATGCAATAACTAGTCCTCTATTATCATTAATATAATATGAAAAGGTAGAATAATGAAATTCATTCTGTAAATCATAATAATAAATATAAAAAATAAAAAGTTATATTATAAAATTTAATACTAATGTTACCTATTATTTTATTATTACTTTTTTTTTATTACTTTTATTTATTATCGGCTTTATAAATTAGTAGTAATATTTAATTTTGAAAATTGTCATATATATATATTATACGTCATAGAATATTATTTATAAATTTATTTATATATTATCACGCCAAGTCCTTTTGGGGAATAAGCAGAGAGAACCATATATATATCTCTTGTTTTTCACCCATTACTCGTTTTATGATACTACGGATATTTACGGGTTTTGGCTGATTTATAACAACACCTTCACGCTAAAAATGGTCAGTGGATGTAAACCAACAAGATTAGAATATTATTTTTATAATATTATAAGAGTTCATAGACATGACTCATCTATACTAATTTTTTTCCTATATATTAATCGTTGATATTAATTATAATAATAAAAAATAATATTAAAAAAAACATATATAGTAATTACATAGTGTTGTTTTACCTTTTATTTTTATATTTACTTAGTGATTCCTAACAAGTTGGTAATGTCAGCCGATTTGGATCTAAATATCTCATATTAAAAGCGTTTATTGATTAAATTATTTATTTATTGCTCAAACTTACTGTAAGAAGTTATTTTATATGATACAACCCATTAAAATCGATACATGTAGACAAGTAATTAGCAAAAATGCACTTCTATGTTTATGTTAGTATTTTTAAAACAATTCACATAACTATTTGTTTCATAAATAGTTTTTATTTTTGTTTTTAATTTTATTACGTACTAATGTTGATTACATTACGCATTAATGTAGGTACGTAACAATTCTAATTATATTATTATCTTTAAAATTTAATTTTAAATAATGAAGTTTTCTATTAATGGCCTAAAGAGGAGTTGTATTATATTGTATTATATTTTTTTATTATTTATTTTATTATTTATTGTTGCATTTAAACTACATTGCCAAATAGATTTTAAATAGAGTGATGAGTAATGCATAGAATGATAACATACTTTATATATACAAATTAACAAACGATTTTCCCATTTTTTTTACTTATTAATATTAATATTGATACAAGTCAGTAGAGTCCATTCTATAAATGTTTAAATTAAAATTTAATGGACGCAATTAGTACTATGCGTATGTGTTGAAACAAGTTTAAAACTAATCGACCATTCCAAAAAAAATATATGAAAATCAAATTGGTTTTTCTTATAAATGAAACAACTAGGACACATAAATATTTATATGAATTAAAAAATACTAATGTAGGTTTATTACAAGTCACTACCAACACTGTAATTGGTTAAATAATATTGTCAGTTAACAAGGATACCAAATTTGTGAGGCAAAGTTTTCTGTCTTAATTGCAAACTATTACAAATTTAGAGTTTTATTAATCTTCACATCATTTTAATATGTATTATTTAGTTGTTTATTTTATAAAAATATTTAATACTTAACTATTTATATAAAATAATAATAATAAATAATAAAACAACAGAATGTGTTATGTAGAAAATACCAAAATACTTATTGTATTTATTAAATGCATTTATAAAATATTTTTTAAGTATTTTATTGTACTTAAATTTTGAGTTTAGGCTAATAGTTATCATAATCGTTTATTTAACTCATTACATTCTTTATGCAATAAAATATTGTTTATTAATTTATTGATTTTTAACTCATAAATAATAATAAAAAATATTAGTCGCAAGAGTTACTTCCGAACGAGAATCTCAACGCAATAATTTTTACAAGTTTTGTCACAATTTTTAAAATTATCTTGTATAGGATTAGATCAATTAAGTAACATACTTTGAAGTCTTATTGAAGTGTAGTCATTAAAAATAGTGTTGCAGTATTATATTCCATACATATTCATATACAAACATGTAAAAGAACATACAAACTGTATAAAGTTTTAGTTTTCTCCGTACGATGTAAATTTAATTATTATTTACGTTATTAATTATAAAAAATCATAATAGGTTCTGTATTGTTATTGGAAAGACTTTTAATTTTTTATTTGTAAGCTATTGAAAAATGATGAATTAAAAATTTGTTTTTACAATAAAATATTGTTACATGTGTTTGCAAAAATTGTAGATTCGTACTCATTTGAAATTGGTTCGTTACTATGGGGCAAATTTTAGCCTAAACATAATATTAGAGAGCTGGTAAAAAAAATTTTTAAATTCAAAATATAATAAATATATATTATATAATGTTATAAAATTATAAATGTGATGTGGCACATCGATAATGTATACCCGTTTGTTATAAATATCTTAGTGTAGATGGAATAGATAGAGTAAATACTAAAATTTGGGATATTTAATATACATAGGTAGCTAATTTTCCTGGATAAACGATTCACGTAATTATATTAAATTTTATTTGTTTTTGTACATTATTTTTGTTAACATCAATCTCATTGGTTTTATTTATAGTTTAAAATGGTCAATTTATAGTTTAAAAAATATTCTGTTATTATAATTGTAAATTATAATAAATATATCTGTAACGTCTCTTTATAGGCTTCCTCTGAATTTATAGTGATAGATTTAAACGTGTATTTTATGTATTATACTTATATATATTAGGCAACTGTTAAAATTATGCCTTAAACATCGTTGTTGTTAATGAAGTGTTATTAATTAATATATCAATAAAGGAATATGATATAAAGTCTCATTGTTTAATTTTACCATTAGATATGTATTATTATCTAGTTTCATCTGTAAAGCAGTTGTGTTTGCATGGCTGTGTTTCGGTTTGAATGGTGGGATATGGCGTGAATTTACTGAGTACGGAGGAATAACACCTGAGTCCTCAGGAATGGCAACGCATGGGTGGTATCATGGGCGAAACAGTATACTCTGCTATGTCCATGTTACTGCTCATGTCTATAGGCGACGGTTACCACTTTCCATCAGGTGGGCCGCCATTTTGTTTGTCATTCAAAGTTGTATAAAAAAAAACAGAAATACAGATATTTGGCGGCAGAGACACAACGGGGAAAAGTAGATGAACATCTTATGAACATCTGTAGTAACTAAAATGATATTTAATCCAATCTAAAGGATTTTTTTTCTCAATTTAAAATAACGTGACAAAAATAAAAATTACATTGTTAATACCATAAGAAACTCAACAAACGCTAGTCAAAGCTTTAAGAGTAACGAAAAACTACGGTAAGCTGATTAGAAAACTTTCTTAATTTGGTACATGCATACCTATTAGTGTTAGGTAGTGCGTGCACTGAATCAATACCATTCTTGAGAACTTTCCAGAAGATTGTAAGAAATGAATCTTAGTTTACTATAGCTTTTTATCCAACTAATGTTTTCCAGTGTAATGACGAACTATGTGTACTAGGAACTATGTTTAGTCAAATGGCTGGAAAGAATAATAAGCTAATATAACTAACTAATAGAGAGGGAATAGACTATTAGTAATGGGGTCAAATAGCCCCATTACTAGCAATATACCCTATTAGGTCGACCTCCACGTGGTTCCCCCTGGAAACCATCGTGGTTAATTCTAGTTGAATTCGTTGGTGCTCTGCCAGTGTATATCGATAGCGCAGACGGCCATGCCATTATCACCCATAATGATGCAGCTATTAAAAAAACAGTAATTAAATTGGACTTAATTTTGGAAATAAAAAGTATATATGTGTTATACAATTAAACACTTACAACAAATAATAATTGTAGTGAATACAACATTGTTGTAACTTTCTGATTTTGTTATGTAACTTGCAATTCATAAACACAAGCTGACAGCCCGCCCAGTGGAAGGAAGATGGACTGTATTCACCATATTCACCACCGTCACCTGCCACAAACTATAGGACGAGTGGCGGTCTTCCACCGTGCGTTTTTCAAGGCACTTTCTTCCACGCACAACCATTCTTTGGAATCAACTCCCAGTAGCAGTATTTCTGAACCGATACGACGACATAACCTTCAAGAAAAGAGTATATTCCTTTTTAAAAGGCCGGCAGCACACCTGCAATCCTGCACGCTGGTGTTGTGGGTGATCATGGGTGGCGGTAGTCACTTACCATCAGGTGAACCGCATGCTCGTTTGCCCACTGCGTTGTAAAAAAAAAAAAAAACTGGCGCCTATAAACATGAAAAATACTGGTTTGTTTAAAAAATGTCATACAATATTAACATTGGCTGATTTCTCAGGATAAGAATGTTCTTAAAAGATATATTTTGATTATAAATTTAATATACCTTACCAATGTTTGTGAGTATGTATATGCGAGAGGCATTTTCGATAAAAATCTATTGAATGTAAGCGGGGAGTGCCTATCGCTCAGTGATGTCATTACTGAAGCCTCCGGGCTCGGGGGCGCTACACTGGAATCTAAGAAATGAATTTGTTGGAGGCCGAAATAAAATACTGCATTTTAAATTTTATTCAACATCGCTCGATCATTTTGTGACAAGTAGAAAAGTTAATTGGAACTTTTCTTCTATTAAAATTAAAGTAGAAATTGCATTGTATTATTCTATTGCATAATATAGATGGTATTTTTATCAAACTTATGTATGCTGGCATTATTGGATAGAAATACTTTTGAGTTCTAAAAGTAAAATATTCTTAAATTAATAGTAGGTACATTTCATTTGTATATTAATCAAAATTTTGATAAATAGCGTGTCTATTTATTTTTCTGAAAATCAAGTTAATTTTTATTTTTTATTTTACACAAAAAATTACAAACATATAATATATATTAAATAAATATGCATAACAGGCGAGCTTAACTCTGTAAGAGTTCTCTTCCAGCAAACCCTGAGCGAAAAGGAGCATTAATTACCAATTTTATAAAATTAAATAAATAAAGTAGTTTAACTATCTGTCAGTAATCATAAAGTTAAACTATTTTTATTGGTATGTGTTGATTGACCGAGATAGTCTAAATTACATGATGTTTGGTTGAGACATTGACACGTATAGGGTAATAAATAATAGAAATAAACTTGCACATTAATAATAGTAGTGAGAAATCTTTAGGTGTTGCAATTCGTAGCTCGTTGTACCCGCAGCAGTCAATACAAAGAGCTTGTAAGTAGATTTGCGGGCCGCAAACGACGCGCAGAGACGTTCCAGCCACTCTCATTCAATTACTACAGCTTATTCTATACGGTGCTCACGCAGTATCTATTGTGAACTCTTTACCTACGAAGAAATAAGTGACGAACCCATTTATTTATTACTAGGTTTTACACGCGACTTCGTCCGCGTGACTGGGATGTTTACTGATCGGGATAAAAATAGGCCTATATTTTTCTCTAACCTATATATAGTAAGTGTATACCAAATTTCATAGTGATTGGTTAAGTCGTTAAGGCGCTATAAGGTGACAAACACAGTTTCACATTTATAATAATCTCTACAATAATAATAAAAATAGGTATTTCATTTACAATATTCACTTCAATTGAATTTGATTTAATATATACCGTCCGGGTGTCTGGGAGGTGGAGAGATTGTTTATAATGGGGGTTATTGGCCCCATTGGTCTACTACCAATGGGGCCTTATATACCTTATTAGGTCAACTTCCACAAAGTTTTCCTTGAAAGCTATCGTGATTGAACTGCCTGGTGAATTGACCGTAATGGGTGATTTTATTTCATTTCCATTTATCATTATTCATTGGTATCCCGCTAGTTGATACCGATACGATGATAGCGCTGATGGGGTCGACATTCCATATTCATCTTAAAAAAAATATGTCTACTTTATTCCAATCTATATTATTAACCTACGACTTTCTGTTTTAATAACAAACGTAATAAAAGTTATGTTAACACTAATACATGCCTAGCGGACCGGCATAAACGTAGTGGGTAGGCTGTGTAAATTAATACAGCGCAACGGTTACCATACTACCCTGCAAATTTTATATTAATCGCACGGTTGAGACGCCCTCTGTGTGACACTATACTTTACTACTACAAGACTGTATTATTGCTGTTCTGTAAATCTTATTATAATATATCTATTTAAAGTAAAACTAGAATTGATAAATGTTTTACATACTATAACTGCACCAACCGGACTATTTACTAATATTGTATCGAATAGTTATTCATAACTTTTAATTAATTTTAATTAGTGTAATTAAAATAGACTTTTAAGTAAAAATAAAATTAATAGAAAAACAAAAAAGAAAATAAATATAAATTTAAATAAATATGTCCACGGCATGGCTGTGTTTCGCCGAGCATGTTTGAATACAACGTGGCTGGGTGACAAGTCTATCGCCATCACTCAGACTGGTCAGTTCTGGTAATTACAATTCGATTCAATTAAATTTATTCGATAACGATATTGCATTTTGTTGAATATAATAATATTTAAGACTGTACAAGTGCAAAATCAGAAACATACAACAATTTTACATATTAACAATACCACACACAAATAAGGTAATAATAATGAATTTACAGGGTACAGAGGAATAACATCTAAGTCCTCAGGAATGGCAATCCATGGGGGGGTATCATGGGCGAAACAGTATTACTCTGTTACGTCCAAGGTACTGCTCATGTCTTTAGGCGACGGTTACCACTTTCCATCAGGTGGACCTGTCACCTTGTTTGCCATTCTAAGTTGTATAAAAAAAATAAAAAAAAATTAGTCTGAATTAATATAAATAACAATTCCAATGAAAAATCAAGTAATTATATACAACTTACAAATAATATATTTCTAAAATTCGTTTATTGTTATTACTCATTATAATTGCAACCAACTATATTATTGGTTTTACTTTACGATAAGTACCTAATGAAATAATTACTATTGTACTGTATTCAGTATGACTCACGTTAGTTATTATTCAACAACTCATATGACATCTTTAATTTGTTAGTTTAGACTTAACGTTAGAGGCTCTGCTGATATATCTGTATGAATAAAGTAAATTTGATTTTATTAGATTAATTTTGATTACTAACGATTTTTTCTATGAGTGAATACATATTCGTTAGATTCAAGTATGGATTTAGTGCTTATGTGGTTTCTTAGTCGGAGGCTACCTTGACTAATAGTAATGTCATTAATACTAGTGGTATATTAATGTGGGAATTGAATGATGGAAAGATGTGTGATATTAAACTAGACGAGGTTAGAATGATAGTTACAGAGCGAAAGAGAGAGAGGTATTACGAACAACGTCAGAATTTACGAAATATTAAGTGTGTAAATGTATGTGTGGATGTTATAAAAATAAACTAAAATTAATTGTAAGTTGAAATTGTTGTGAATGAATATTAAAAAATATACTTTATTCAAGTGCGGTATTTCATTCTTTAAGAAAATCTTTAAGAAAATAGGTATATATTCCTTTTTTAAAATGCCCGCAGCACACCTGCTATGCCTTTGGTGTTGCGATTAATCATGGGCGGCGGTAGTCACTTACCATCAGGTGAGCCGCTTGCTTGTTTGCCCCCTGTGTTATAAATAAAAAAACACTAATACTACTAGGATTTTCTCCCTTTTGAAGATGGTTGAAAAACCAATTGGAGAATATATGACTAAGGGAGTACCTCCGAACATATTGCCTCTCGGCACATTACCAGAGGTCCACGATTCGCTTCCAATCAGGCGCGAACATTTTTATGGGCGTGCTAATTGAGCCCGCTGAAACGGAAGCAGTAA